CCCCCCCCCCGTGGCTTGCGAAGCTGCCCCATGCACCCCTAGAAATGGCGTCCTCAAGATGGTGGCGGCCGACAGGCGTCCGACGTGGCCTAAAACCTGCCAGTGGTTTTTAAAGGGGCAGCGTCCTCTTTTTCTTTTTTTGCTCAACAATTCTGGGGCGGCTCTTTGCATTTTTTCCGCCGCCGTTTCGGCTCTCTTCGTTTAATGGGTTGGCCACCCTTGTTCTAGCCGGACAGGGGGACCAGTGAACATCGGATTCTTGGCCTTGGGCCGGCGCTGGGGCGAGTGGGGAAAGTTCTCCTCTTGCACTCCACGGCTCCAGCTCTCCTGGCCCTCAGGGGCTGCCAAGGGGAGGCCTCTCGGAAGTGGGGCCGGGGTAACATGCCATCTCCAGCCAGCCCGTTGGGTGTCCAGAAAGACTCTTCCACTCTGGCCTGGGCTTCCGGTTGCTTGGCTCCCATCTCAGAGAGCAGCGGCCCAGTTCCCTGCGTCTTCGCCCCAGAGCGGGGGGCTCGGAGGCTATTCTGCAAACCTGTGGGGGGAGGGTTTGGTCCAGCGTTTGAACCAAACCAGCATCTGCAGAGGGCGCAGTGGCACCCAAGAGACACCCCTCCTGGCTGGAGCTCGGCCGGATGCTGGAGCAGGGCAGAGGAGACAGCTGTGCCCGAGCCGAGCTGGCTTGTGAATTTCACCACTGGGTAAGTTGAACCAGCTCCATGAGGCCACATGCCCCACGGCCATGCACGGTGCTGGAAGGCTGATGGGGGAAAGGGGGCGAAATAAAAGCCACTGGGGCAGCGACACCTCACAGCCAGCGTTCCCTGTAAGCTGAGCACTTGGGCAGCCACCCAGGAGAGATTCAAATGCCACCCTGCTGGTGAGCAGAGCGCCCAGAGCCGGCAGCGTGTGTTTCTAGGGTGGTGCACCTCCCCCACATGCCCCAGCACACATAACATTTATTCTGCACACGGAAGGAAAAAATTAGAAGGAACACTGCTCCGAGCCTGCACTTGAGAGCGGAAATAGGACACATGGGGGCGGGGGAAGGAAGCGGCCTGGTGCACAGGGTCTGGCACGAGGGGGCACCGCCTACCCCTCTCTCCAATTCCACGAGGCCTGTTACCGCTCCAGCCCCACCTCAGCCCAAAGCAGTGCCTAGCCCCACTGCTGGTTTCGTGCCAGGAGGAACGATACCTGGCAGCAGGTGCCTTTGCTGCTGTGGGTTTCTGGCCCTGCCCCCAAACTCGGGCTCTCCCCCTTGCCCCACCAGCCCTATGGGGCCCACTGGGCATCCAGCCAGTGGTGAGGCCGGATCGCAGGCAGCATCTACCATCCTGTGCCCAGAGGGTCGCTCCGAGAGGACTGTGGAAACAGAGATTTTTGGGTGCTTCACGACTAAACCTACAGGGGCTGAGCAGGGAGCAGGGGCTGGCAAGGGAGGCTGGGAATCCGTCACACGCCAAGGACCACTCCGGCGGGGTGGGTGGAGGGACAGCTTGGGGGGGTCGGGAATGGGTCACACAGCCCTTCACCTCGAGGTCACTGCTTGGAATGCAGCCTGGGTCGGTAGCGACCGAAGCACGTTACCATCCGCCGGCTGTTCAGCGGCCTATGCGAAATGAGCGGCTGGTCTCGCTCCAGGTCCTAGTGGACAAAAACCACCCGTCACAATTGGCACCGACCCGCGGCCGGCAGAGCAGACAGCCTGGGCCGGGCTGGCCCAGAGACGCAGGGCCTCGGCAGGGAGCAGCGGGAGGAAGCTGGTACCGAGTTTCAGCCAATCAGCGAAGCTGTTCCTACGCTTGGTACCTGCCACCAGCTGGCTTGGAAGATGCTCCCAGGGGAGGAGGGGGGTTGGCACATCTACCTTCTTGCTGATGTCATAATCCAGAGCAAGTGACATCACAAGGCATTGCCATGGAGGTGACGGTGATGTCAGAAGTGCCAGATGCGGCCCCACCAAATGGAAGGAGCCTCGGGGGGATGGGCCCCGCATGGCATTTGTCTGTCAATCTCAACCGGGTTTTACTTCCTGAAAACCCAGTTACCCCCTTCGTTCCATTGTTCTCCCTATTTTCATTATGGGCCAGACGCCGAGCCGCAAATCGCAGTGCTGCAGGGTCAGGCCACAGCAGGAAGGACGCTACTGTCTGGCCTTGGTGACCTGAAACCTCACGGAAACATCTGATCCTGCAAGCCAGCTCAGGCCGAACCCGCAGAGCAGCCGAACCCGGAGCAAACCCAACTGGTCTGCAGGCAAAACCTGTCTCCCCCCGCCAGACTTCATGAGACCCGACGGCGCTGGGCCCGTCGGCTGCACGTTGGGGGGGGGGCTGCCCAGCTGTGAAGCTGCACTTTGCAGGCTAACCAGCAGAGGGCGCAGCTGGCACTTAGTTTTGGTGGGTCCTACGCAAACAGGGGGCTTGGTGTTTTACAAGTATCTCTGCTTACCGATGACTCGGAGATGGATTTTTTTAAAGGTTTTTAGGGCCCAGAGGGGAATTTCCCACCGAGTTCTATTCCATTCCAGGCCTGGGGGGATGCGCCGGGAACATACGCAGAGCTGGACGGGCGCGCCGGGGACCTACACAGAGCCAGACGGGCAAAACACCCCGAGCTCTCCCCAACGCCGGCTCACAGCAAGTCTCTATTCCGGGCGGCTGAGCAACGAGCGGTTCCTTCTGAAGCGGACGCGTGCGCAGGGGGCCCCGGGACGGCACTGGCTAAATTCCAGGCTCGGCTCTCAGAGTCGGGCACCAGCAAATGCCTGCCCCTCCCCCCCAACTGTGCGGACTCGTTAATGTTCCGTTTGCCGGGCAGGATTCATCCTGACACGAAGCTCTGGCCCTGGGACTCTCGGCGACTCCACAAGACAAGACAGTGCCCACTGCCAGGGCCGGATTAAGGGGGGGCTAGCCGGGCAGCTGCCCAGGGGGGCCAACCTATGGGGGGTGCCTGATGGCAGTTGTAAGGGGTGCCATGCGCCTGGGGGCTACACGGCACCCCTTACAGCTGCCACGCGTAACAGCCGGGTGAGATCCGAGCATGGGGCTCAGCCAATCCCGGGCCGGTGCCGCTTCCTAACAGGCTGTGGGTTACGTCTGACGTTACGCGGTGCAGTGTAACCACCACCAAGGTGGATTTGAACCTGAGACCTCAGGAGCTGCCTATAGGCGCCTCTACCCTCTGAGCTAAAAGCCAGCTGGCTCGCAGCCCGTGCTGTAGAGGTCTCTTGATCTTAACCGTTGCTGTGATTTGGTGCCACTTGCAGTACTCAGTAACCACACTAGGGCGCTGTCTACACGCGCAGCTTCTTGCGCAAGTAATATGCAAATGAGGCTAAGCATGGAATATCGCCGAGCCTCATTTGCATACCTAATGAGCCACCATTTTTTTCAGAAGAGGCTCTTGCGCAAGAAGGAGTGTCTACACTGCCCCTTCTTGTGCAAGAAAACCCTCTTGTGCAAGGCCGTTCTTCCTGGAAAGTACTAGGTGTAACGGCCTTGCGTAAGAGGGGTTTTCGTGCGCGAGAAGGGGCAGTGTAGACGTTCCTTCTTGCGCAAGAGCCTCTTCTGAAAAAAGGGTTGCTCATTAGGTATGCAAATGAGGCTCAGCGACATTCCACGCTTAGCCTCATTTGCATATTACTCGCACAAGAAGCCGCGAGTGTAGACATAGCCCAGGTGTGTGGGTTACAGTAGCACACCCGCTGGGCTGCCACTGACCCCTGGCAAGGCCCGGGCAGGCGGCCCCCGGGCGGGTGGGTGGGCCCAC